CGTCACATTATAACGCCCCCACGGCTGAAAGGGCGAGCATGTTTGGTGGGACGGATTCGAACCCGCGACCCTCAGATTGCGAGTCGAGCGCCTTAGACCTGGCCATGCCGGGCCTTTTCTGAACAGAACGTCACCATACTAAAATAGAAACCTGACACTAACAGAAGCAAAAATAAATAAGCCTTATTAATCAAACCAAACAATCCCACAATTAACAAACACCCAGGGGTATCTTTATATGTCTTTGATCGTTATTCCCCCAGACGTTTCTAATCTTATTCAAATATTTCACACAACGTTCCTACATTTTCATATTTATTAACTTTTTGTCTGTTTTTTTTTTCTGTTCAGCCTCAAATAAATAACCTGTCAATTCACAGAAATTTATATGCAAATAAGTATGATTGTTTGTTTGTAGTTTAATAACAAAGCTACACAATGGGCTATCTATGATCTGCCCACCACGTATACCTAAACCCGTTTCTAGCGTTGTAAGTCCGCAGACATGCCACTGTGTCATTGAGGAGCGCGCATAAGTAACCACTATCAATTCTAAAATTTAAATACATTGTTAGTTTGTTGAATGTTGATATGAATACTAAAACCTCCTTTACTGTTAAAACGTGTATACTTGAAAATGATCGCACCAGTGATCGAAACGTTGTTCCTATCTTAAAAATATTCTTCCTTGTTGTAAAAGCTGTAACTTATAATAAAATCAAACTTATCATCAGTAAGTGAACCCAAAACGAAACGAGGTCATGCTTTACCATAAACATACTATATTCAAATATGTAATTACTTGTTTGCTTAAGATTATTATTGATGATATTTTTTTTACAACTGTGTTATTCACTTGATTCTTTTTATTTTATTGCTTAAACTGATGATTGTTTTCTATTCTTCTTTTTGCATCTTCTAATACTTGAACTCACGTTCACCAATATATATTTTTTTTAGGAGCACAAGAATACGGTGAGGCAGCGGCCTACATTCAAGCTCAGTTTGAAGCCAAAAATAAATCAACAACTAAAGAGATCTATTGTCACATGACTTGTGCCACAGACACGACAAACATCCAGTTTGTGTTTGATGCTGTAACGGACGTGATCATAGCAAACAACCTGCGTGGTTGTGGGTTGTATTAAACCGTGTACAACATTGCGTGAAAAGTGACACCTTTCAGCCAACGAGCATGTCTACGCCGGAGCAGCCGCAAGTTTCATCTGTTTCTGCTTTCTTGTTGCTGGGTTCTAGAGTTCCATACCCTAGGGAGCACGTGGGTTCCTGTCTGGAAAACACTTGCACAGTAATCTTCTGTCTTAATGAACTATTTTCTTTAATCCTTCTTAATTTGTACAGTGCATTTTATGCTGATAACTGACGCATTTACCACAGATAAAAGATTGAAAAATGGCGGTTGGGAGATTTTAAACACAGAAGACTCCATAACTTTTTATTTCTTTGAGATACTTGGGAACAGAAGCGCAAAAAGTTTCACTTCAGACTAGAGCCCCAGATCAGAAGAGCATCTTTTTGTATGCGTCCAATTAACAGATTCTTCTAACACTGTCTACCGCTAACTATTTACGTCTTGTGTTTTAAGTTTATCTGTAACTAGTTTGTTCTTAAAAGAAAACTCCGGTACTAAGTACAGTAGCTGGTGATTTTATGTTCAAAACCTCTAGTTCACGGTTGTTGTATAACCAAACAATATTTGTGGATAAATGATGGATGCAATATTTTAAGTATTCTACCTAATGGATGCGAATGAGGAACAAGATTCTGTTCAATGTCGGCAAGCTCTGTGATTATACATTGGTTCTGGAGCAATGTACAAATACTGTTTGATATCAGCTCCTCTCTAGATATATAGTGTTTACTTTTTACATGCATAATTATTGAATTCTGTAATGCTAATTACTTCAGAGAGTTGGTTTGTTTCTTTCTTTTTTTTTGTCTGAATTTTTAGCTCAACTTGTATGTTATCTGTAGCATGTAACATCAGCGAAATTAAATGCGAAATTCTTGCTTCCAGTATGAAAAATATTTTCGTAATCTTTCTAAACCGTGTGGCTTAGTATCAAGATAGGTAAGTGGAATGTTTCGAGAATAAGATACAGAGTGTATGTTTGCAGTTGACCGCAAGCTAATTATAATGCATCATAATATGTGAAACAATCGTTATCATAAAGTGGCTTTTAGGCTTAAGATTTGTGATTTCGAATACTTACGGTGCTTCCAACCATAACTCTCGTTCATCCTATGTTGAGATTGCAGTATCTATGGTTTGCCAACAGTGGCTTTTGGTTTAAATCCTATCACATGGGCCGGGCGTGACCTAGTAGTTAGCGTGTCCTCACTGTGTTTCCGAGGGCCCTTGACTCCCATCCAGTTACCACAAAATTGCTCTCTGTACCTCTGCATTATAAGAGTGACGGTCAAATCTCACCATTTGATTAAAATAGTTTAAAAGTTGGCGGTGGGTGTTGCTGGCTAACTGCCTTCCCTCTTCTCTATCAGCTGAAAATTAGAAGTAGTATTTGAGTAGGTTTGCGAGAATATCATTCAATCTAAAAAGTATGTTATATATTAAAACTGTCTAACAATTAATGGACAAACATGATCGAATAATAGTCGTTACACAGTTAAGAAACGGCATCTACTACATTGTTATAACAAAGTAGTAGATATTGTTTAACAATATATTTTAGTACTGTTACACAGTTAACAGACAGGATCTACTACATTGTTATAACAAAGTAGTAGATATTGTTTAAGAATATATTTTAGTACTGTTACACAGTTAAGAGACAGGATCTACTACTTTGTTATATCAGGGTAGTAGATATTGTTTAACAATATATTTTAGTACTGTTACACAGTTAAGAGACAGGATCTACTACTTTGTTATAACAGGGTAGTAGATATTGTTTAACAATATATTTTAGTACTGTTACACAGTTAAGAGACATGAACTACTACATTGTTATAACAGGGTAGTAGTATTGTTTAACAATATATTTTAGTACTGTTACACAGTTAAGAGACATGAACTACTACATTATACACAGTTAAGAGACAGGATCTACTACATTGTTATAACAGGGTAGTAGATATTGTTTAACAATATATTTTAATACTGGTTCTTTTTTTCTGTTTGACCTGAAAATAGACTGTGTTAGTCCGAAAGTTTGTGGTCATTATAAGTTATTAACCGATGTAGGACGTTTTATTTTAGTTTTGGGTTCAAGACTGACCTCATCTTCTGCTTACTTGTTTTTGTGATTCCATGAAGAACAATGATTGGACAACTGCCCACAAGAGTTTAAACCTCTTTACTATAGTAGGTACGTTGATGATATATCCTGATCAGGTCTCCCTATTTTTTACAATACTTGAATACTAGACAAAGCAGTATGAGGAGGAAACATAGAGGAAAATAAACTTCCATTCCTGGACACCGTGATAAATATTATTAATAATAACGGACATTTTAATGAGAAGTTAATTTTGCAAGTTTCATTCATACCCTCTTTAAAAGATTAATTAAAATACTTATACTTTTTTTACCGTGCTTATGAGATATCTAGCACATATGATGGTTTGCATAAATAATTTATGAATAGCAAAAAATCCCAGTGCAAAAATGAGTTTTCAAGTTATTTCATTGACAGAATACTTCATTAGTTATTTAAATAAGCGAAGTGGTGCTACATCCGGTATTTATGTTGTACCCAAAAATGATTTGGTTATTAGATTACCCTATATGGATAAGTATTTTTTAAGTATTAAGAATCAGCTGAAAAATGTTATCCATAGGGTTGTTGTTTAAGCAGAGTCACATTAGGCTATCTGTAATGTCCACCGTGGGGAATCAAACCCCGGATCTTAGCGTTGTAAACCCGTAGACTTACCGCTGTCCCAGCGAGAGGCTATACATAGCGTATACTCGCAAATACAACTGAGGTGCATATTAAAACCTATTTATCGCCTTAATACTTTTTGTTTTCAATTTAAGGACCAAATTTGAACTTTAGAATCTTTTTTTGTTGTTTATAAATTTATTTGTCCCTGCTGTAAGCAGGGTTATATTGGTTTCACGAAAAGATAATTATTAATGCGTATAAAAGAACGTGATAAGTTAAGACCACCAATTAAATCCAATATAGTCATACAGGCTCTATGTAAATGTTACATTTCTGTCCATTCTAATTTGTTTAAGATCTTGGTTAGGGCCAGTGATGAAAAGGGCCTCCGATTAAAGGATAGTTTGTTGATAGATAAACTGAGGTCAGAAATCAACCTTCTTAGTTCCGCTAGTACTTTAATGTTAAAGATACTTTATAATTCGTAACACGGTAAAAGATATAAAAGTATTTTATAACGCGAGTTTGTTTGTTAATAAAAAAGTCAGTTAAAACAACGTTTAAAAGTATATAATACTCCAAAAACTGTTGAGGGCACTAGGCCTTACTAAAAACATCAATAATTTTACTGGATCACAGTCACCAGGAAGGAAAACTACATTGAAAAAACATCCTGATATTTATACCTTGTTATTTGGCATGATACAAAAACATTTACCAATCATTTGACATAGATGGTGCTGCCATCTCTTATCTCTCATTAAAAATGGAGCTTGTTTTTAAACACAAAGTTAAACAATGGGTTATTTATACTCTACTTACTGTGGATATTGAGATATGATTATAGTTATAAGCCTTCTAGCGTACCGTTGAGCCACTTAGGGTAAAAATAAGTTGAATATATAGTTATTTCAGTACGCAGAGCTACATAATCAACTATCTGCGCCCTGTCCACCGACCCCCCCCCCCACGTGGCACAACTGTATGTCTGCGGTTTTCCAACGCTAGAGTCCAGGTTTCGATACCCGTGGTGGGCAGAGTACAGATAGTCCATTGTACAGCTTTGTGCTTAATTACAAACAAGCTGTCCACCGGAGAGAATCGACCCCCCCCCCTAGTATTTTAGT